AGCTAATCCCGACACAACGGTTGTCAAAAAAAATCATGAATGTTAAACACGAGGTGATTTCTTTCCATCTGTTCGGAACTTTGTCCACCAGAATTCAAGAAAACCAAAAGGGAAAAATTCATGAAATGTTAAAACACTAGGTGATTTCTTTTCATTTGGGGTAGTAGGTATCTGGAATTAGTCAAGATGTGCGCAGGCTGATCCCGACACCACGTTTCTCAAAAAAAATCATGAATGTTAAACATCAGGTGATTTCTTTCCATCTTTCTAGAGCTTTGACCACCCGAATTGGTGCTGTGGAATTAGTGGAGTTGCGCGTAAGGTGGCCTGAACAGGACGACAACAACAAAAAATATGAAAAACAATGAAATGTTAAAAGAGAAGAACACACCTTATCTTTTTCAAATTGTTCTTTGAGAGTACATTGAGGACCCAACTCAATCTTGTTATTTGTTTCATCATCATCCTCTTCTTGATCAGTAGTATAAATTGAACTTTCACTCATTTGCCTACTAACCCTATTATCATTATTATTCCCAACATTTTCATTCTCAATCTCAGGGTCAGAATCACCCACAATAATTCCTTTATTACCCTCAGAATTTACAGCTGCCCCATCTTTACTTTCAACATTTTTATCATCAAAACCCATTCTTTTGCTGCTGCTGCTTTCAGCAATTCCAACAGCCAAGAACATGAACAAAAAAAAAACAAAAAAAAAGTGTTCTTGAAAAAGAAAGAAAAGGGCTTTTACTAGTTTTGTTCTAAATAGATTTTGATATTATGTTATGATTATGACAAGAAAAGAACAGAACTAGAAAAGCCCAAAAAGAAAAAACAACATGTTGAAGAGAGTCTAAAAAGAAACTCCCTTTATAAAAAAACAAGAAATTTTTTTGGTCATTTTTGTAAAAATGGTTAGATGTGAAAAATGGTCAAAAAAGAATTCAATGAAAAGAAATACCCTGAAAATATTACTACAAAATGGTAAGAAGAAAAAGACACCAAGAAAAAAAAGAGAGAAAGAAGGAGAAAGATTTGGAGGGGTTGGGTTTGTTTTGAGGTGCAAAATGAAATGATTATGTGGTGATCCAAATATTGTGAGAATTTACTTATTGCAAAATATAAATAATAAAAATAATTAAAATTAATAATTTTTAATAATAATAATAATAATAATAATAATAATAATAATAATAATAATAATAATAATAATAATAATAATAATAATAATAAGAGAGAAAAATGGTGGAGAGATCGTGAAGGTCACTTAGGAGACAGCTTAGGATAGGGTGGAAGAGAGAGATTTAATTCAACTATATTTTTGACCTCTTCTCATTGGACTATTATTCTCCTTTTTTTTCATTGGACAATTATTCTCCTTTTTTTTTTTTTCATTGGACAATTATTCTCCTTTTTTTTTTTTCATTGGACAATTATTCATTTGAGGACTACGTGTATCTCTTCCACTCTTTAATATCCTTTACCTCAAACCGTTATTATAATTTTTCCTCACCTTTGTTTTCTTTTTTCCTTTTTTTTTTTTGAACAATTATATGTATTCGGACTAATTTAGATTTGCGCGACGTAAAATTTGTTAATGAGTTTTTTTTTCTATAACAGATAAAAGCACATTTATCATTCTACTACACCTCTATGACTAATAGCTTGTTAGTAGGGCAACGATACATTCTGCTAATGAAATTTTACTGAGTCGTTATTGTTGTACACATTTGTGACCGATTAGGTTTGGACCGTTTGTTTTCATATTCACAAATACTAATACTATTGAAGACTTGAAGTAGCTTGTTAGTAGGGCAACAGTACATAAAGTCATGTTCGTAATAGGTTGAGATTATTTAGCTATTATGTTTACAGAAGCAATAACCATAAAAGGACACGAACAATTAGAAATATTCAAATACCTAGAAAGGCTAGCTATATCATAAATATAATCATTATGTTGGAATTGAGTCGAATGACTTTCTAATTCTAATTAGGTTGACTTTCTAAGGCTAGCTATATCATAATGACTTTCTAATCATTATGGCTAGGCCCTTTTATGGCAGTTATTTGGTGCGTAAGCTTTATCTTATTCTGATCGTTCAGTAAGCGATTGCGAGATTATTAATGAAGTCCTCCGTTTCTTTCGAAGGTGTTAATCCGCAGCATGACAAAGATGAGTAAGTGACATGAAATATGGCGACGACAATAGCATATCATAGAAGGAGATGACCTAGAATGTAACAAGAATCAAAATGAGAGAAGTTATATTTGAAATTTGAAAACCTTTCTTCTATTTCCTCATACATTCTGCAAAAGGGAAAAAAAGGATAGGACCACCACAAGACTCAAGTTTCAATATGCATAATTGCCTATCCTTATGTTAGGTCGTTTACCTCACATCATTTGGGCGCGGCTCTTTCTCGGATCTAGAACCTATATTCTTTATGGATTCAATTTGGTGCTTCTACCACAATCAAATTGATTTACTGGGTTGAAGATTTATGATCTTGTGCTTGCTTAGTAAGCATTTTAATAAATACATATAATTTGAACTAAAACTATTGGTTTCATAAATCAGAGCTTATACATTAGATCCGCCTATGAGTCCTTAATTAATATCATCGCCGAGACGTATATATTTTTACAAATATTCACTCGTAAGGATTAATAAAGCATTTTGCAATAGCTATGGGAGTTTTAATTGTAATCGAAGGAGAAATAACTTCTCCAAGAAGTAGAATTTTTTTAAAAAAAAAAACATTTCTGGAAAAGGGTTTTGGTTTTCAACCACACACACACACACACATATATATATATATTTCCAACAAATCGAAAGGTATATTAATAGGCAATGTCATGCCTCATGACTGAGATGTTATTTTCAGTAGATTGAACATTTTTTATGACCATAGCTATTTATTTTCACGTGACTCAACATAAATGGCTTCAGAGAATTTATTATTGATATTGACATATGCATCTATAAACCGGTTTTAAGAATTTTATCTAAAACCTATTTTAAAAATGATTATTATTATATTTTTCAATGATATATTTTCTGAAAGAATGGAAAATGAAATTTTCGAATGTTTATTTGATATTTGACAACATCAATTCATACCTTATTATAAAATATTAGATAATTCAATCGAAATAATAACTTGTTAATTTAATTTCCCAAAAAAATCAGTAATCATGAGCTTGGTATTGGATAAATGTTTGGAGAAAGGTATGTGAAATAATTAGTAGGGTAAAGAATTGATTTTTGCAACTTAATTACATCAATAATAATAATGAGAAGAAGATAGGGATGGGAGTTTTAACCAGATTGAAATTATTAATGGGGCCTTAGAATTTATTTTGATACGTGTTAAGAACTTCTTGGTATATTCCCAACGATTTAATTATAATTAGCATGATTAATGAACGTCCTAAAGGAATATTAACTATGAGTGATGATTGGTGAATCTTTTTGGAATAAATCACGCTAACATAATTAAGAAATATTGTGGAAATAATTTTTTGTGTTTACTCTTTTTCTCCTTTCATCTATTAGAGAGAAAAAGTTTAGAAACTTTGTTTTACTCTTTGTTGCTAATGATGGTTCGTGGTCAAAGAAGTACTAGACATGACAAGTTAAAATTATAATGTTGTTGTTAATGGGGAGTTGGGGACACTATTATTACCATGAACACATCCAAAATCATGGCTTCTTCATCATGGAAATGCAAAGTAAATTAATAAGGTTGGTTGTATGTCCATTAAATTAATTGCTTTTTCATTAAATTAATAAAGTTGGTTGTATCATGTATGTCCTTTGAGGGATTGGGAGATTGACGAAGATATCACACATCTTATTGGGGTGGGATGAATGAAATGGAGACTCGCTTACGGTGTTTTGTGTGACAAGAAGGTGCCATCAAAACTTAAGGGTAAGTTCTACAAAGTGGTGGTCAGACCAACGATGTTATATGGGGCTGAGTGTTGTCCACTCAAGATCGCTCAATTCCAGAAGATGAAGGTAGCATAGATGAGTATGTTGAGATGGATGTGTGAGCACACCAGGTTAGATAGGATCAAAAATGAGGTTATTCGCGACAAGGTGGGTGTGGCCCATATTGAGGACAAGATGTGGGAAGCGCGACTTAGGTGGTTTCGTCATGTGAAGAGGAGGAGCACAGACGCCCCGGTGAGGTGTGAAAGGCTGACATTGGAGAGCCTACGGAGAGGTAGAGGCAGGCCAAAGAAGAGGTGGGGAGAGGTGATTAGGCGACATGACCTTTGATAGGAAGGTATGGAGGTCGAGGATTAGGGTAGTAGAGTAGGTAGTCTCGAGTGTTCATAATAGTATTATTGGCACGCAGTCTCACTTTCTGTTGGTAGTAGGCTTTTATGACTAACCGTTGTTTTCTTTCATTGTTGATCACCTTACTACCTTGTTGTTTTTATTCTGCTCTTATATGGCTATTTAGTATTGTCCCTTCTTGTCTATATTTTCATTAATGCGGTGCTTATGCTTTCCTGAGCCGAGGGTCTATTGAAACAGCCTCTCTATCCTCACAAGGTAGGAGTAAGGTCTGCATACACACTACCCTCCCCAGATCTCACGATGTGGGATAATATTGGGTATGTCATCGTTATTGTATGTCCATTAAATTAATTACTTTTTCATTTAATAACCCGCCTTATCTAGGCTAGCTTGTTCGCACCTCTAGTGTTCCATCAAGTACCTCCTACCTTTCACTAACACGAATACCAATAATCCTACCGACCAAGAATTAGAGTAGATGGAAAGAAAATAACTAGAGTTTCTTGTGTCTATTGAAATTTGCAACCTAATCTTCCATGAGTTTCACCTACTTCATGGACCGCGGGCATGATCTTCCATGAGTTTCACCTACTTCATGGACCGCGAGGCCATGCCCGGGGTGTGGACTAGCTTTGGAATAGGAAAATCAAATGCTTAAAGCTCATTTTCTTTCTTTCTTCAGCAGTCAACACAAAAGATAGTATGGTAATCACATCAAAACATTACAAAATTGTGTATATTTCCATTTCAAATGTTAAGATCAGAATAACTTGGAGCTGATGATTCAATTTTCACCTAATGCTTAGCCAAAAACTCTCTATGGATCTCTCATATAAGAAGCCAAATCCTCCTTCATAATCCCCTCCCTGCCTATCAAATCCCCCTCTCCACACTGAATAAAGAGCTAACCGGAAGAACTACGTAATAATATCAGAATACAATCTTAAAAAGGAGAAGAAAGGTACTTGCTAGTGAACAAATGATCAATCGCTTCCCCATTTTCTCGCTACGCTGTCTTTCGCAGAAACATGGGAAGAAACTTCCTCCTGAGAAACAGTACCAAAGCTGTCTTGGCTAGCTGGATATACCTTTCTCATAATCTGTGATGATACATAAGTAAACCCGTTCCTTGCTCCTCGCAGCGTGAACAGCAGAGGGTTGAATACAACAGCAAGTATCACATCTCCTTTTGTAACTATCAAGTACTGCAGTTTTAGAAACAAAGTATTTTGATTAATAAGAGACAAGTGGAAGTGGGGAATAACCATATTAATTGAAATCTTATAGCAACATAAGAGCTCCTACCCCTCCCCTCTGTTCGCTGGGAGCGGAGTTTAAGAAGAAAAAAAATTGAAACTTTTGTGGTCTTAAACATGCCATTAGGGGTAGAATGTGAAGTTTAAAGTCAAATTGTTTCTAAATATAGAAAGGTATCATTTTATTTTTGAAGAGGCTTAAAAGGAAAGAGTGTCACGTAAAACAGACAAGAGGGAGTATACAGAAGCTTATGCAACTGATGAATAAGAGACAAGTGGAAGTGGGGAAAACCATATTAATTGCAATCTTAAAGCTACGAAAGAGACTGTTATAAAGAAACTTATACAATTGCTCACCATGACGATGATGCCCAAAATAGCAAGGCTTGCTTGTTGAGCTTCCTGCCAGAAATGGCCATCGCCGGAGCCACCAAACCATCTACCCCACCAGCCGCCTCCACCCGAATTGTCTCCTCCACCTGCTTCCTCCCTCCGTTTAATTTCTTTATCCCATTTCTCATACTCACTTTTCTTTCCTCCCAGAGCACTTTCTAAAGCTCTTCTAGCCTCCTCCTGTTTATATATGAAAAAACACAACATATAAGTAATGACCTAGTAGAAATTGGAAGGCACTTATAAAAGAAAAAGGAAATATTTATTTTATAACTTTCACATTGAGTTACTTTACTTGAATTTTAGAAACATGAGAAATTATAGCTATATCCAGAAGTCTTGCTTTGTGCCCAAACATGGCTAAACTAAACTTCTACTTCCTCTGATATCTACCACCATCAATTAGTAGAAAACTTCACTATATCTCTTGTTTTCACCAAGATATTACAAATAGGAATTACCAAGATTATTTTTTCTGTTTCATAAGTCAAAAAAATTAGCACCAAGGTACATAATCCAATGAGATAATGCCTCCTAAGGTCTGAAGGCGCATGACCTAGAAATTGAGATAGGTACTGTAAGGTTAAATATGGCTGAAGAAACCTCATAAACATTAGCTCGTGGACTCCTCTTCTGAGGGGATCCAAAAGCCCACTGCCTGGTTCATTTCAAGTGAAATTTCTGGAGTTTAACTAATGTGTAACAATCTTCATGAAAGCTAAGATTGCAGATCTAACAATCCACTATTCCCCATTATGACACACCAATTAGAAAAGCTCAGTGAAAATGGAAACTTGGCAAAGAAAAGTCTTATCATTATTATGATGCTAACAATAATCCGTATCTCATTTAACTTCCAGAGAGGAAAAATGGCTAATTACATTTAGTTCAAATCAGTTCTACTATTTGGGGTCAATTTGAAATAAAAGACAAGTTATTGCCGTTTATTAATTGGAAGTTATTATGATTCTAATAGAGGATACAGAAAGTTGCAACTTAAGAATAAATACTTTTTTTTCAAATCAACACCAGAGTGAAAGTTAACATGTCATTTCTATGGTTCTGTGAAGCTTAAATTCTTTTTTGGTGCATTGCAGCTTAATCCAAGAACTCGACTGGCATTTCTGACAGTTCCCATTTCAAATTGTCTCCTTCACAAATCATCACCACAATTTTTTTTCTTCTGAATCCCAACAAGTCCCCATACTACATGGAAGCTAGAACTCCTAAAATTTTCTGCTTCTGGTTAACTACGCAAGAAGCTGAGAATAGCGAAAATAACTGTCTCTTATCTTCCCACCATACAACTACCCATCCAACAACAATGAAAGCAAACACCTTTCTGAATCTTTTCACCATCAGAGTGTGAATGTGTGATAATGATCAGCCAAAAGCTTTTAAACCTCCTCTGGCAATTAAGGCTAGTGGATCTCGCTCTTATCATATAATGAACTCGCCAGCCCTCTATAGAAGCAAAAGCTTGAACTGCCACAATGAGGATGGCTGAATATGGATCTAGCCCCAATGGCTGCCCTCACTACTTCTTGCACACATTTTTTTTGGGGTTAAAATGCTCCGTTTTTACAAAAAACGTAGCTTTTTGAACCCAAAAAAAATGTGTAGAACAAAGAAAAAAGCTCTGTCTTTTATTCAACTCAAATTATAATTACTGTTCCATGTTTCCTAAACTATCAAAAAAAATGATCAATTAGCATTTTAAGCTGCTCTTCACTAGTAGGACAAGTAAGAAATTGTTCCAGTAACCTCAACTCCATGAAAAGTCAACAACCTAGGCTTGCAGAGAACACAATGAAGGATGTAAAGAACTAAAGGTCAGGATTCACAAGCATTTGAAACTAATGATCTTACCAAAACGTCAAATTCTGCTTTTCCATTTGCTGCATGACTACATCTAATTGCTACACTAACAAAATTCAAGAGCTTTGTCATTTTGTTTGTTGAGTGCCTTCCTATCGTGCTACTCCAGTCACAAAAGGTTGGAAATAAGAAAGGAATGGAATCAAAATCGTGAACAAACTAAAAGCTATGCTAAAATGGCCAAGTAGAAGCTCAGGAAAGACCAGATGCATTTGGATTTTTCTGTTTCTTTTTCTTTAACCTGGACAAGGGAATTGTGCTTGGACTGTGAGATACAAAGAGCGGAAAAACAGACTTCGTGGTCCTTTAATATACAAGATATGAATTATGTATGAAAGTAATGGGAGAAATTTGCTCCCAAAATATAGAACTTCATCTGCATTTACTTGTGGTATCCTCTTTTCGGTCAATCAAATCCTGTAGGAGTTTCAGATAGGATTTGGAATAGGCACAATTGCATTAGTATGCGGTACGGCAATAGGAGAGAAGCTGCGAAATTGGATGCAATACTCATGCAATCGAAACATGCTAGATGTTCTACCTACGGTTCAGAGGTGGATCCAAGATTAGAAATTTATGGGTTAGGATTAAAAATTATACCACATCCCATCTAATATACTGGGTTCGAAACATATTATTTGTACTTATTACAGGGTCTAAGTCAAAGATACTAGGTTCAACTGAGCTAGTAGCTTATTTATTATATCTATCTTGTAGAAACTCCAGGACACTGAGGTATCAATAAGCACTCAAGCAGAATGTCATGAAATTGCTTACATCAAACAATTTCTCTATCTAGCCAAAGCTCACACTAATAGTTAAAACAATTTGTTCACTCAGGCAAGTTCAAATATTTTCTCTCTTGCACACAAGTACAAACACTATTTTCATTTTTCCTTGTGTCGAGGGTCTACTGAAAACAGTCTATCTATATTCACTATAGGGGTAAGGGGTAAGGTGTGCGCGCTAACTCGTGCTACCCTCCCCAAATACCGCTTGTGAAATTATACTGGATTTATTGTTATTGTTGCACACAAGTACAAACACTATGATAAATCAGCAGCAATAATAAACAAAAAAATGAAAAAACATAAAACCCATTTAATATTCTAGTACCCTTTTTCTTCTTATCCTCAATTTAATCAGTGGCATATTCAAAATCAAATTAAGTTCATATACCCAATTATTTTCTTTACAATGAAAGCTAAATTGTGAAACAAAAAGCTTAAAACTCGATACCTGTTTGCGGTTACCAGCGAAGAGGCAAGAAAATCTGCCATTGCAATAGAGTTTGTGCTGTAGAGAACTGAAACTATCCTCGGAGCTGGAGGAGGGAATAGTGTGTAAAGTTAGCAGGGACGGCCGCGTCAACGATAAAGTGCGGTGGTGCAGCGTGGGCGTTGGGGTTGGAACGCGTAGGCTCAGCACCTGCGCCATGGATTTTGTGTTTGGCTAGTGAACGAGCCACGACTCACGACCGAGCAATACTTGTTAATTTGGGCAAATGACCCAACGAGCCGGCCTTGGTTCCAACCCAACATTTTTTTTTGGTCTTTTTGGTTTACAGCTTGTTTGGATGGTTGTTACGCATCGTTTCATAACGTATCGTATCGTACTGTATCGTTTAATAAATACAATGTTTGGATAGATTGTGTCGTTTGTCATCGTTTCATTATATCACGCATCAATATTATAAAGAATAAACCTGCAATGTTATAAAGAAAAATTATGATGCAAAGTAAAATTACTATATAAAAAGATAGGGTAAATGATAAAATAAAATAATTTAATAATAATAAAGGGCGATATTGAGAGAAAAAGATAAGGTAACGACACGACCACACCAAATCGGTCGTTATATAAAGTGGCACATTTCGTCGTTATGTAACGACGGATTTAACGATACGATACAATAAAATTTAAGTAACAATCAAAACAAACATTGTATTTAAAGTAACAATACGATACAATACAATGCGTAACAACCGTCCAAACAAGCTGTTAAGGATCGTTATATTTGGAATTATTAATCTGATTAATTTAAATTATAAAAATAGCACGGGCTAGCTAATTTTCGGACTGGTCATTAAAAAATAACTAACGTTTTCAAATTCATTGAAAAATGTCACTATTTTGCTGCAACACGGAAAGTTCCAGCATAATATACTGGAGATCGATGCACCTGTGTATAAACTTCCAGCATATTATGTTGGAACTCCAACGCGAGGAAAGTTCTAGCATAATATACTAGAGATTGAAGCGCATGTGAATGAACTTCCAACATATTATGCTGGACCAGTATATTATACTGGATATCCGGTATATTATGCTGGAGTATTTTTCAGATTTTGAACAGTGTTTTCGTTCAGATTTATCTTTACATGCTAAATCTCGATTACTTTTGAAACTGTGGCTATTTTTGAATGACCACTTGTAAATCTGACTATTTTTTAATTTCTCCAAATTAGCATTAGGATAGGCCCATTAAAAGAAGAAACGTATACCAGACATAAGTTTCTTAAGTAGTTTGTTCAGTAAAAATTGCACGGGGCGCCCAATTTGGTCGCCCTCAATTAACATATACCCACTTTTTAAAAAAGTTTTAACTTGTACCCACTGTTTAAACAACTTCAGGCCTCTTTCTCATCTTCCTTCTCCTCCTTCGTTTTCTGAATACTGAAGATTGAGATATTGTTATGCGTTCTAGCCTGATAATTCATATATATCTGCTTGTCTCATTATGTTCAGTTTGGTCTTAATCACAATAATTTAATCTCTTAGATATTTTAGCTTTACAGGCACATTGATTTTTGGTTCTAATTTATCTGTAGTAACTTGTTTTCATGCATTTTAATCTTTGAAATGAACAACATCAATCGCTGTTAATCATGATATATTAAATTCATTGTTGTTTTAGAACTTCAGCTTTAAGAATATTGAAGTTTAGCAAATACAAAACAAACTCCAGCCCTAAAGTTCATCACAAACAGAACAAAGCTTCAGCTAAAACATGCTTAAGTTCAGCAAATACAGAACAAAGATTTAGCTACTAGAATACTGAAGTTCAGAAATTACAAACAAAAACTTCAGCCTACGCATACTAATGTTTTATTGAACTAAAGTTTGCCATTTGCACTATGAACTAAAGTTTGCGTGATAGCCCGTATGCCTGAAATTACGTGAAAAGTGGTTACGCTTGCAATTTTCTGTAAAATGGATATAAGTTAAACCGTGGCCCAAAAAGCGGGTATAGATGCAAATACCCCCTTTTTCATCAAAACAATGTTTATTTATTTATGCATTAACAAAGTAAAAGAGTCACTAGTTTTTGTATTGGTCAAAATCTGACCGTCTCGGCCAAGCTGACCAACGTCCCGCCCAAGTGACAGGGCAGTAAAAGACGACATGGCCCACTCTACATCTCATTCTCGACACTCGTCGAGTCAGAAGGAGCAATGTCTAAAGGATGACCAAGGTACACTTGGTACGAGAGAGCATCAGACCAAGTAAATGGCAAGGGTGCCTTGACTATATATAGTAGGGAAAAATCCTCGATTGGGGGAGTGCTCTCCTTTCCATTCTCTCCCCTAAGTTTTCTTCTTGTAATCTTCATAGGAAAGAAGTAATCTACAAAAAAACATGTAAAACTACCTCTCCCATTGATTGATGGGAGCCACAACGAAGAATTCAATAAGATCGATTACATCTACTTCATCTTATGTACTATCTATTCTATTAGCTCATTGATCTGGGATTTATTATGTTTGACTAAGATTTACCCCTTTATTTTCTTTGATTGATTTATTGAAAAAGGTTCCGATATCTTTTGAGTCAAACAATTTGGCGCTGTCTGTGGGATTTCTTAATGAAATTTCCTAGTCTCTCCCAGATCAAAGACAAGAAACACGATTACCCACCGAAGAGAGCGCTAAGGCAAAACCCAACCCACGCGGGACAAAGGCGCATCATAGAAGGGGAAGGAGAGCCAAGTAGAGTCACCGAATTTAGAAATCCTCACCCTATCAACCATCGAAATGCCAAACAAAACGAACAATGTTACAAACCTGCTCCCCTTCATTGGACCACCGGATGGGGGTAAGGAAAGTATTATTTTACCTCACCTTCTGCTATTTGTTCAAGCAGAAACACAAGTGTCGCGCGGGCTAGCGAGCGAGCAAAGAAATATCTTAATTAAAGAACGAGAAACTATTACAAAACAACCGAAATACCGCTCGCTGGTGACACCTCCAAGCCTGAAGGCAGGAGTCAGATAAGAAAATTACGATGTGTGCACAGAACGAACCTAAGCGAAATAGCAACATTTCATACTCTCCAACGTTGCACCTTCTGATGCAAACAATGTCAAACAAACTGGGCCTCCCCCAAGTGGATGCCTGATTCTCCAAAATCTGGGACTGACGATGGGCTACTATTTCGATAAGTTCGAAATAACACCCTTTAAGGCCAAGGGACTTCATCAAAAAGAAGAGTTCGACCTCGATCGAACAACAACGAGTTACTATTTCGATAAGTTCGAAATAACACCCTTTAAGGCCAAGGGCCTTCGCCAAAAAGAAGAGTTCGAGCTCGATCGAACGACGACGGGATACTATTTCGATAAGTTCAAAATAACACCCTTTAAGGCCAAGGGCCTTCGCCAAAAAGAAGAGTTCGAGCTCGATCGAACGACGACGGGATACTATTTCGATAAGTTCAAAATAACACCCTTTAAGGCCAAAGGCCTTCGCAAAAAAGAAAAGTTCGACCTCGAACGAACGACATCGGGTTACGATTTCGATAAGTTCGAAATAACACCCTTTAAGGCCAAGGGTCTTAGCCAAAAAGAAGAGTTCGACCTCGATCGAACGACGACGGGCTACTACTTCGATAAGTTCGAAATAATACCCATTAAGGCCAAGGGACTTCGCCAAAAAGAAGAGTTCGACCTCGATCGAACGACGACGAGTTACTATTTCGATAAGTTTGAAATAACACCCTTTAAGGCCAAAGGGCCTTCGCCGAAAAGAAGAGTTCGACCTCAATCGAACAACGACGGGCTACTATTTTTATAAGTTTGAAATAATACCCTTTAAGGATAAGGGCCTTCGCCAAAAAGAAAAGTTCGACCTCGATCGAACGACGACGGACTACTATTTCGATAAGTTTGAAATAACACCCTTTAAAGACAAGGACCTTCGCCAAAAAGAAGAGTTCAACCTCAATTGAACGATGACGGGTTACTATTTTGATAAGTTCGAAATAACACCCTTTAAGGCCAAGGGCCTTTGCCAAAAAGAAGAGTTCGACCTCGATCAAATGACGACGGGTTACTATTTCTATAAGTTCAAAATAACACCCTTTAAGGCCAAGGGCCTTCGCCAAAAAAGAAGAGTTCGACCTCGATCAAACGATGATGGGCTACTATTTCGATAAGTTCGAAATAACACCCTTTAAGGCCAAGGGCCTTCGCCAAAAAGAAGAGTTCGACCTTGATTGAATGACGATGGGTTACTATTTTGATAAGTTCGAAATAACACCCTTTAAGGTCAAGGGCCTTCGTAAAAAAGAAGAGTTCAATCTCGATCAAACGACGACGGGTTACTATTTCGATAAGTGCGAAATAACACCCTTTAAGGTCAAGGACCTTTTCCAAAAAGAAGAGTTCGACCTCGATTGAACTGTGAGCACGTGATTTTTGTGCTCTATGAGAACTACTCCCAAAAATTCAAAATAAAATGATTTTGTGTTGTTTGTAATTTATTGGTATTTTTGTCTGCGTGTGTTTATTTCTACTTTAGTTAAGAAAAATACAAAAAATATATGTGTTGCATTTGCATTTACAATTTAGGATTAATTAACCAGTAATTTATTTTATGAAAATGAAAATCATAAAAAATAATATACTTTGCATTTTTAGCATTTAATGTTGAATTGTGTGATTTTATTGTTAATT